TGCTGTCCCACCTGCGGACCGCCTCCGTAGTTCCGGATAGGGGGCGGCTTGGCATTCGGGTTCACCATCGAGTTCTCCATCAAGCCCGGCCGCACCGGAGTCGGATGCGCAGGCAGACTGTCCGGGTTCGCGGGAGCGGCTGTGCCCGGCCTGACAATGGGCGGGCGGCTGTTGGCGAAGCCGGGATGCTGCCCGGCCGGGCCCGGAGGTGCACTCGGACCTCGAGGTATCGGCGGCTGGGAGTATCCTCCAGGTCCGCCGTACCCTTGGTCATATCCGCTCTGGCCGTATCCTTCGTCATTGTGTCCTTGATCATATCCGTTGTGTCCGTATCCTTGACCATTGTGGCCTTGACCGTACGCATCCTGTCCGTATCCTTGCTGCTGCTGCTGTTGGTACGTGTGCGTTTGCGGAATTGCCGGCACGGCAGGGATGTCGCCCGTCATCTCGAAGACGGCAGCCTGCGGCTCGCGAAGCTCTACCATGGATCGAGCGTGGGCCAGCTTGGGCATCTGGTGAGCCCCCTGCTGCGGCTGCTCGTTGCCCTGCCGCAGCGACTGCTCGAACGAATCCCGTTTGCTGTGCACAGGGATAGCGTCAAAGTCGGGCATGCTGGAGCGGCTTTCCTGGCGCGCATGCGTTTGCAGCATCTGGGAGTCTTGCGGGTTGAGGTGCGTCGTGTTAGCAGTCGGCTCATCGTAGTAAGAGTCGTACAGGTCGTCCATTCCCTCGTTATATGAGGGGGCACCGTATCCATTGTCGACATGCTGACCTGGACCCGGTCCCGGGCCGTAGCCATTGGATCCCGGGCCCTGGCCGCCAGCATTGCTATACTGGCGCTGCGGTAGTGGCCCCTGAGTGTCCTGGGGGTATGTCCTCTGCGGCGGGGGCCGGTTCCCCGTCGTCGTCGCCGGCCTCTGCGGTACTCCTCGCCCTGCAGCAACGCTGTTCGGCATCGTCATGCTTCGCTGCGCTCCGTATTGGTTCGGTGGCGGCGGCCGAGCTCCGTATCCGCCATCAGCGTAGTCTCCGTAGCCGCCAGGAGCCTGCCTGGGCTGTCCGTGTCTTGGACCTGCGTAGTTCTGGGAGGCGTTTCGGGTGGGAGGTTGTCGGTGTCCTTGTCCGTTGAGGTCCATCTGCGACATCTGGTCCGCGAGCTGGTAGTTGCCGTCGGCATAGCCTGGACCGGGGGCGTTCATGCGAGGGTTGTTCATCGGTTGCCGGCCACCTAGAAAGGAAATGATTGCTGCAGATTAGAGTCTGATTCTCTTTGATTATCTTTCGTAGAGAGAGGGTTTGGTGGTAAAGCCGGGTGTTGCGGAACAGGGCTGTTGATGAAGATCGGGCTCTACGGAAATCCGGGCTCGATTGTAATGGCAGTATTGGGAAAGGCTTACCTGAACCTGGACCTGGACCTGGACCTCCTCCCCGAGGCATGTTCGGCCTGCCCCTATTCCCAGGACCCATGCCGCCTCTCGGGGGATAGTTGGCCCCTCGCTGCCCCTCTGGTGGCATCATATGAGGGTCTCCCCGGCCTCCCTCTTGCGGAGGGCGTCCGCCTCTCGCGGGGCCGGGCCGACCCTGGCCATAGCCGGCACCTTGGTGCTGATTGTTTCCATACTCTGGCCCGTATCCTCCTCCACCATAGCCATCGTCCTGATGGTACTCGTTCAGTCCTCCATAGCCTCGTGCCATGGCAGGATGTGCCGCCGACCCAGCGTACGGCCGCTGTTGGGATCCGTTGTATCCACCTTCGTATGCCATTATGATTACTTGTTCTCTAGTTTGTTTTTCCCTTGTTTTCCTCTCGGTTTCGGCGTTCGTATCGATTTCGTGACTCTAGAACAAGAAGCACGTCTAGTGCTGTGGCTGGCGTATACGAAAGAGTACTGGCATGCAGATGCCCATGCTAGAAGAAAGGAGAGAAAGAAGACAGAAAGAAGACACAATCACGGTGTGTTTGGTACCGGCTGGAGCAGGACGAGATCCGGGAGACGCTAATCGTTCTTTGTTTTCCACAGCTGCCTTCAAATGGGATGTCGACGCTGCTATCCAGACACAGCTGGAATAGCGGAAGAGGGAGAGGGAAGTCGGAGTGGAGGTCAAGGGCAAACGAGCAGAGCGGCAAGATGTCTCAGCTGGCCCATACCAAGCCGAGATGACAGCCCCCAGCGCCGCACTCCGGTTGGCAGACGTTGGCGCCGCCGGGTGAATCAACACAACAGGGTCGCACAGGCTTGAAGCCTCGCGAAGATGCCACCGCTCGTGTTGTTCTTCTCTGTCCTTGTATGCTGCTTCCGGGTCGTTGGCGTGCGTGTACCTGCTGTGGATGAGGTTCACGGCAAGCTGCGTCTTGGAAAGCAG